TCATTTTCAAATATCCGAGTTACTTCCACACACCAGTGGTTTATAAAAAATTTTACAATTACACTCATTATTCTTTGATGGAATATTTTATTATAGTTTGAACAATGTCTTGTAGTTATGTTAAATTTTTTAATGATTCCATCAACTAATAATTTTTTGATGGTAGGACTATGACATTCTATGAACGCTTGGTCCATTAATATAAATAATAATACATAATAACATCACAAAAAAAATTAATTAAATAAAACATCATACATTATAATACACCTTGGCCATTAATTGATATTATTAATAATCACTAAAATTGTATTACATACATTTTTTTTTAATGAAAAATTGCTATAATTTTATATTTGTCCATAAAAAGTTATTACCTATTATTACTTGTAAATGTACGTAGACTGTTAGGTTCTTACGGCCATTATGTTTTTTTTTGTAATTTGATGTTATGTTTTATAAAGTATTACCTTTGCTATTAATTGACATTAATTGTTATCACTAAAATTGTACCTACCTATTACATACAATTTTGATTACTTGTCATTTTAATTATTCATGAACCTATTTTGAATAAATTATTTGTATTTCTAATAATATATAATAAAATATGATCTCTTATTGGAAAATAATTTATTTTTATTTATTACAATTTTTAAATTTATTTATTTTTATGCCATACAATAAACAATTTTTAAAAGAAATTAAATAAAAGAAAAATATCGATAGTAAAAGTTGAAAATATCGATAGTAGAAGTTGAAAATATCGATAACTTTGACTATCGATAGTAGCCCTGTTTTAGTGTTGTCGTACAACCACCGGGAGCGCTGAAATACGGTTCGTTTTTATAGCATGGGAGTTGCCTATCTATTATATTATACTTATCTATGGTCCGGTGCGATTCGTGTCATAAAATTCGTGCGCAAATGCCACCGTAATAATATTTTCAATACCCGCGCGTACCTATGAACTACCGATTATAAATTATGATACTGCATACCTAAATTTATGTCCCAATATATAGATCGTTGAGACTGTATTAAAAGTTATAATTTATAGCATAGCCTGATTTGTAGTTATTGAATTATTACTTATTTAAATATAATAATTGTAGTAAAATCTAATAAATGGCGTAAATAAAATAAATACAGCGCAATTAAATTAATATTAATTTTACGTTCAACTGTTACAGTTATATTAAAATATGATAACAAGTAACTACAAATATTGTTTTAATTAATAATATGTTGGTAGTAGGTATACCTATACCTAATATAGTAATATTATAATAATTAATAATTATTATATACTCGTAATGATAATAATAAATAATAATACTCTAAAATCTTTATATTGCCAGAATATTGTTGAATTGTTGAACAACTTTTTATTTTTTAAACATAATGTCAGTAGTTAACTGTCGTAAATAGTTCATGAATTTTAATTTTTTAAATGCTAACCACGCATTACATAATACATACAAAATTGTTTTTTTTTTAATGTGGTTTTTAAAATATATTTATCTTTTTATATGTTTTAAAAATATGTAACCAAAAACATATTAAACAAACTTTTAGGTGTAAAAATTATAAACATAATTGTGCAGGTATCAGTAAAAAATGCACCGATCAATTACAAATAATATAAAATTAATAAAATAAATAATATTGTCTTGTTTCATTTTTTTTTCAATAGGTACATGGTTAATTATACAAATAATAAATACTTAATACAAATAATACAATATAAAATGTTCTTTATTTCTTTGTTTTTGATTTTTGAGCAGTTATAATATAATTTGGGTCGATGATATCGCTCGTCAAAAAACGTTTGCCAAACTGTGGGTCAACGATCTCGGGTAATAAACATTCGTAATAAAATCTGTATAAATTACATGTAATATGTAATAAATAATATAAAGAACGTGAATATGTAATATATATGTTTAAATTTACCTTTTTAATTTAGACTCCATTTTATCAATCCAAAAGTGTGGATCATATTTAATTATTTCAACATGTTTCAAATTATGCGAATACACAATGAAATGACAGATATATCTTTTGGAAATTCTCAACTGCCCAATTATTTGATAGTAATAGTTATCATCTTT